CACAACCTTCAAAACCTTGTAACTCGGTCGGAATCATGTTGGGGAAAACTCAATAGAGTCGGAGCTTCCGAGTTACTTCGCGTTGACCACTTAAAACTCAACCATTCAAGAATCGGTTGGTATGGTTCGTGAGTTTGAGAGGAACACAATGGTGAATTTTGTCGATTTTGTTTGTGAGGTTTGAGGATCATTCTTTCCAGTTGCAGAGAAAGAAGAGAGTTCGGGAAAAGAGAGAGAGATAGTGAAAGCTGAGTTCTTATTGGGTGACAGAAAATAGGAAGTGGGTTTCTCATTGGTGCACGGTAAGTGAGGGATGGCTTCTGATTGGTGATGATGAGGGTTTTAAAGAAAAATAATTGGTGAATGTGAGGTGAAAGGGGGACCGAATCCACTTTTTGAAGGAGAAATGATTGGATTTTGATTGGTGAAAAGCATAGAGCATGGGTCCAATTTTAAAGAAGGAAAAGGATAGGATTTGTACAAACGTAATCAGAGGAAATCTATCCAAAACAGTGTTTCCAACACTGTAAAGTTAATGCACCCGTGAATAAAACTACCCGTTTTTAACACACTTTAATGTATCGTAATTTTTCCGCCATAACTCCGATTCGAGCCTAACTTGCACTCACGCATTTGTAATAATGAGTACTATTTAATTACAAAAGCGAGAAAAATGATTTAAGCACGAATAAACACGTCCACGTCACTTGCCAACAAGGGCATAAATGTCAATTCACATACTCGGGGAGAAATTACATAGAAAATTAGGGATGGATCGTCACATGTACTCATTCTTAAATATAGTTATATGACTTAAAATGTACCCTTTTTTATATATAAAATTCATTCAATTTTTTCTCTAATTAAAATTTTAAACTTATATGGGTACATTCTATTTCGTTGATTTGAGAATGTATCCATATCAAGTTTAATAGAAGAAATTTAATAATGTTAATAAGCCTAATATCATTTTTTTTTTTTTTTGAAGAATGCACCCATGTTTTGGTACAATAATTTTTTGATTAGTTTTGATGAACGTACCCATATATATATATGGAATAGGATCAATGGACAAACATTTTGACACACATTTTTACACTTCCTTGTAGCCTTTAGATTTTATAACATTCAACAGTCTAGATTAAGAGTGATGTGGAGAGTTTTAAAATTAAATGACTTGGATGATGATGTGGATTATCTCTACTAATTAATAAAACACTCATTGTCAACCAAAACCCTATGAAATTACCAGTTTAACCCTCTAACTAAAACAGAACATGAATAAGAAATATGGGCAGAAATGTAATTTTATACAATCAAATTTTGCTTTTTTTTTTTAAAGCCTCACCTACATGTAATCTTAACATATTTCTAATTAAAATATTAAAAAAAAGGAAATAAAATAAATAAATAAATAAAACTTCCCAATCTCACATTCTTTATATTTCACACACTACTGTGTGTGCCCATATGCTAGTAATTAATAAAGAAAACACTAATCTAAATTTAAAATTAATATCTAATAGGATAAAATTGAAAAAACCAATAATCAAACTTTGAACCTAGCATAAAAATAAAATAAAAAATAAGAAAAACAAAAACATGAAAATACTGTAACCTCGGTCTCCCTTCCTACAATGCCTTAGATAAATTCTCCTCTTTCATTTTATAAAAAATAAACCCTAATAAATAACAAAAAAAAAAGGAATGAGCAAAAGATTGATTACCAAGAAATAATTCAACAAAGCCATGAGTTAAATAATGAATTTGTTTCCAGTACCTATGGTGATTCCCCTTCAACTAGACCTATACTCTCGAGTAAAACACCAAATCTATTAAAAAAAAAATCTGAGAAAAAACTACTTTCAGTCTACAATTGTAGAAGCAACACCAAAGGCAATACTACAGATGATGGGTTTGGCTGGATTAACCATCTTTCATGCTAAAAGTCATCTGCAGGTTTAAAGGAATCCATTAAAAAATTTCTTTTGTTTTTCCTTTTCTAAAGTGTGATTTATTTTCCTCTCTTCTTTTTAATTTTATTTTTAATTACCTTCCATATTTTATGTTTTTTGAATTTTATTTTTATGTTTAATATTATTTAAAATCCACTTAGGTATTCATGTCATTTAATGAATGAATATAGGACCTTTGAATGTTTTGTAATCTAAAGGTTTAAAAGAAGTGTAAAAATATTTGTCAAAATGTTTGTCCCTTGATCTTATCTCTATATATATATATATATAGAGAGAGAGAGAGAGAGAGAGAGAGAGAGAGAGAGAGAGAGAGGGAGAGATGCACACACACACAAAATATATTGGCGAGTATAATTTTTCTTTAATATTTTTGAATCCCATAAATTATAGGTTTTATTTAAACTCTCATTATATAAATAATTACAAATTTCATTTTTAATTTAAAAATAGAATAACCTACATAGAAATACATTATTACATTAACATTAGGGATTTCGGTCAAAAACTAAAAATCACAAAGGTTTCAGTAAAAAAAAATTGGTAGTTAGAGATCGCATCCAAATTGTCACTATAAACAAACCACAATATTAATAGGGTGGTGTTATGCACACATCATTTTTAACCTCTGACACACTCTCTAACTTTTCAGTCATCGGATTAAATGAATTGAAGAAGATCAAAGAGGCAGAAACTAACAAGGAGTGTTTTGAAATTGAAAAAAAAAATGAATGTGTAAATAACACCATATTATTAATATATATTTTGTCGAATAATATAATACTGACGAACAAACATGTGTTAGAAAACATGCGCTTGTACGATTGTCGCACAAAAATACTACTCTTTATGATCAAGCAGGAATTAAATTCAAGGCAGACATCTTTAGATAGAGCAAAAAATAAAGTTAAGTCGTCAATTTTGTCTCCCTTCTTATTCAGGGCAGCAAGTATTAAATACATGGGTCATATACATTTGACAAATAGTAGATTATTATAACATCAAATTAAACAACCCAAGTTTGTAGTAGACGTATCGTGTATGCCATCAATTGGTGGTCCGTATAAACACATTTTGGAGCATTATAAGATTGTGCCAATAATCTTCAAAAAAATAATATATATATATAGTTTAAATCTATATAGCATTATAAGATTGTGCCAATAATTACAAGGTCTTTTACTTTTCTGATATGGGATTATTATTGTCCACCCACCACCTCACGTGTGATGAATTTTCAAGCTTAACATGTAGATAACACAAAGCGGTGACGTGGACCACATGTAGCTGTTAGGGTTTACACAAGGGACAACACGCTATGATACCATAAAGAAAGTTGAGGCTCCACCATAAATTAGTTTGCAATATGAAGATTAGCACAATACTTATAAGCATATACAAAATCCCTTATTTCCTCAATATGGAATTAATACTCTCAATAATGTGGCTTTTTGGTCACACACTCACAATAAAATTTGTCTTTCCTGTACACATCAAATTACCAAAACAATGTTGTTTCTAAACTTAGATTGGGAATTAATTTGGAACCTTAGGATTTCAAGACGACTAGTTTGGCAAACTTTATATAGTTTTTCTGTTGGTCTAATAAATTAATTTGCCTTGTTAACTTAAGATGAAACATTTCCACGAGCTTCATATCATTTGGTTTGCCATTAATTACTGGAAGGCTGGCAACTTTAGCTAAGGTGAGTGTATGAACACGTACAAACACTCGCTCTCATAATTTCGCAATCATTTGATTGCCCGTATGCTGAGGGAACTTAGCTAAGGCGAGCTCAATTAATGATTGTGGAGTTCCTTGGAAAATTTTCCTATCTGCATTGATTTATGTCGCAAAAACATTACTTGTGTATAGCTACTGCAACCTACTAGGTTCGGAATTTGGAGAGAGAGAAACGATCCATGATTCTTTAGAAATAAAAGAATTAGACTTCTCCAGGACTTGCCACCACCACTAACAAGAGTATATCAAACTTTGGTCGTTAATACTGTATATATTACCGTTGTCTCTATATAAATATAAAAGTAAGATGCAATGGCCCCATATAAATAATTTTGTATTGTAAGGTTATGTCTCTTCCTTGAAAGTGCTCGAGAACTTTGAGCATTATAGGACCCCTACCTTCAAATTGTTCTGTTGTTTGCCTTTGTAGTGTAGTTACTGTTTTTTGGACTAGTTGGTGTATAGTTGTTGTTGTTCATGAATTTATACGAGAAAACTGGAGATTCTGAGAAAAACAAATTATTTATATGTATATATATGTATATGTATGTGTATGTATATATATATATATATATATATCACATTCTTCATCTATATAAAAATAGCTTGCGTGTGAGTAAACCAGGGATCCATTGAGATCTACCTAATCTTGTTATGGATATAATAAGCTCCAACGGCAACATGGAGTGCACAAAGTTGACGTGGTTGGATCACAATTCACGATCAACCCAACAAAGTTAGAAAAAATCAAGACAAAGATAACAAAAGCTAAACCTAATCCCTGCCCTAACATAAAATAATCAACACATAATACACTTCCAAGATTTAATTGTGTTCAATACAAAATTATTTCATTACACATACAAATTATACAAAATTACGTTTATTATCTACCATTGCAAACTCACTCGATGTATTCACTTTCCTCTTCCATCTCTAATCTCGTTAAATTCTTACCATCGTTCTAGTAAATTCTCTTTTAATGAATTAAATTTTTTATTTTTTATTTCGGAATCTTGTGTTGTTTTTAACTATTATTACGCTATTTACTGTGATGAGCAACAAAACATTCACCGTGTTGCACATGTGTATAAATCTTCTAGATTTTTTTTTTTAAATAACAAATAATAAATATAGTATTGAGATGTTAAATTGTTTATTTCACTCAAAGACATAAAAGGGAAGGAAAATTCAGAAAATCTGTTTTGAAAGTAAATAATAACGTCCGCGCCAACTCTCTCTCTCTCTCTCAATTTTAATTTTTTTTTTCTTTTTGTCATAAGAACCTTCTTTTGACCATTCCCTCCTTCTCCTCCCTCTCTTTCTTCTCTTCTTCCTCCTATCTGCTCCAATCTTTCCTCCTTCCATCTCATTATATTTATATATCTCTGTATCTATATGTTTCTCTGATCCTTTCCATAAATGATCCATTTCCTTCTCCGCCAGCAATGGTTTTCGATCAAAACCTCTGAAAAGTAAAACCTCTCTTCCTTTCTCAGTTTTTTTATCTTCTGGGTCAACCATGGGTGGGTGCTTCTCCACCATCAAAGTCAGTGGCTCAAATAGCAACAACACCGCCCCCGCCACCCCTGCCTCCAATCACAACCGAAAACAGAGCACAACAGCCGGGAAGCAAGAACAGAGACCCACCCACGGACCCAATGAACCGCCCAAGAAGCAGGTTGTTCATAAACCCAAAAACAAGCTCAACTCTAGGAGCCGGACGGGGGTCATTCCCTGCGGAAAGCGGACCGATTTCGGGTACGATAAGAATTTCGATAAGCGGTACACGATCGGGAAGTTGTTGGGTCACGGGCAATTTGGGTACACGTACGTTGCAACCGATAGGGCAAATGGGGATCGAGTTGCGGTCAAGAGGATTGATAAGAGCAAGGTATTGAACTGGAATCTCAAATTTCTGAATTGGGTTTTGTGTTTTTTTATTTTTTTTTTGGATCAATTCATTGGAAAGTTGCCCTTTTTAATCTCATTTTGCTGTATGACATTCTGGGGTTCATGAGTTTTCCCTATTTTTCATTTTTGTTTTGATGAATTGTGAAACTTTCCATTTAGGGTGGATTTCAATTGTTAAATGTGATATTAAAAAAAAAAACTTGTTAGTTGTGTTTTCGTAGATTCTATCTGCGGATTCGAAATTCTGGTTTTTTGCTCTTTTTTCCAATACTATGAAGACTTAATCTCTTGTAGATTCCCACTTTCTCCTATTGGCGTTTGCCTTTTTTAAATTAGTCTCCATTTGCTGAAATTTTGTTGGTCTTTCTGAGGAGCAGAGAGTTAAACTTCCCATTTTTTGGGGTTCAGTTGTCGCTTCTTAAAATTTGAACCTCTTGAGCACCTTCATTCAATTGCGGTAGCGGTTAATTCTATTTAATGGAAACTACTTAGTTTGGTTGATTGCATAAATAGTTGTAGATACAATTACTCAAGTTTTGTGGGGCTTGCCTTTTGTTTTATTGCAGGCATCGTTAGCAAAGTTATTGTCTGTTTTTGTTTTCCTGTTCTTGCCAAGTTGCAAGTGTTGAAATATGTATTTCATTTTGTTTCTTTTCAGCCAGTTTTCCTGAACATGTAATTGTTATTGATGCATCCATCGGCAAGATAATTACTTTGTTCCCGTTTTCCTCTTTGAAATTGTTCCATTAATGCTTGAATGGTATTTTGTTTGGCGGCAGATGATTCTACCTATTGCTGTGGAGGATGTTAAGCGAGAGGTCAGGATATTACAGGCCCTTGCAGGCCATGAAAATGTGGTCCACTATTATAATGCCTGTGAAGATGACTCTTATGTGTATATAGTTATGGAGTAAGTTTTCTTTTTATTGTTTTCAGACTATCCATTGTTTCTTCTTTTGATTCATATACTCCTCTTCTGGTTACGTGAACTTCATCTTTTCGGAGACATTGTATTTTATAATAAGTGTGTATTTCATTTTCATCATCCTATTAATATGTTGTCTTCAATTTTCTGTCTTATCAGGTTATGTGAAGGCGGTGAGTTGCTGGATCGGATTCTAGAGAAGTAAGATTCCCTAAAGTCCTGGATAAATACTCATCTGATTTCTGGTTGACAATGAATTTTTTGCTCCTTGATATCTTTTGTAACATTGCTATTATATTCTTGTTCTTGGTTAATCAGGAAGGACAGCCGTTACACTGAAAAGGATGCCGCAGTAGTTGTAAGGCAGATGCTCAAGGTTGCAGCCGAGTGTCATTTACATGGTCTGGTGCACCGTGACATGAAACCTGAGGTATAAACAAGTTCATTAACATGAATATAGCAATTGTTATCTGGAGTCATTTTTCTCGGATCTAACGGAAGACGTGACACAGGACCAAGCGCAATGGCGTTCTAGGATTCATATAGCCAACCTCACTTAGTGGGAAAAGGCTTTGTTGTTGTTGTTTGTAATAACCTTACCTTTATTCCTTGCTCATAGAATTTTCTTTTCAAGTCGAAAGCCTTAGACTCGCCTTTGAAGGCAACGGACTTTGGTTTGTCTGACTTCATAAAACCAGGTATGCATATTTTCAGTCCTAGAAAGATTTCATCAAGAGATTTACAAGTTCCTGTCAGTGTTGTTCATCTATTAGTTGTAACGAGGTTTCTAGACATTTATATTTGAAACCTATAAAGTTGTTTAAACTGAAAATGCAGGGAAGAAGTTTCAAGATATTGTTGGCAGTGCTTACTATGTTGCTCCTGAAGTATTGAAACGCAAGTCAGGGCCTGAGTCGGATGTTTGGAGTATTGGTGTTATTACCTACATTTTGCTTTGCGGGAGACGTCCATTTTGGGATAAGACCGAAGATGGTATATTTAAGGAGGTATAGTTTCTTAACTTTGTGTACTAATAAACCCGTTCCCTTTTCTGTTGCATTTTCATTTTTCTTTTTGGGGGCAAGAATCCTTTGCCACTTCATTATTTGCATATGTCGCACCCTCCCCTCCTTTTTCTGTTTAGTAGACTTAATTGCCTCTATTTTTGCAGGTCTTAAGGAACAAGCCTGATTTTGGTCGCAAACCATGGCCAAGCATAAGTAACAGTGCTAAAGATTTTGTTAAGAAGTTACTTGTGAAGGATCCTCGGGCAAGGCTAACTGCTGCTCAGGCTCTATGTATGTCCCTAGATCTCATCCTGGTAGAAATAATGCTGACTACTATGGTACTTGGAAATGATTTTCCGAATGCTTGCTTTCTTTGCAATTGAGTTGGTGGTGTCAATAGTCAATACCCAGAGACATTATTATTTTATTTCGCAGCGACTATTTGAAGTGATAAGATTATCTCCTTGGGGGTTTAACTGTTCTTTATATTTTCATTTCAGCACACCCGTGGGTTAAAGAAGGAGGTGATGCATCAGAGATTCCTATCGATATATCTGTTCTCAATAACATGCGCCAGTTCGTGAGATATAGCCGTTTGAAACAGTTTGCTCTAAGGGTAAGAAAGATTTCCTTCTGTTGGAGTTTCCAATACATTAAAGACAAGTGCGTTTTGTATTTAATTTTCTTGCATTCAAAATTGTCCTTGCAGGCATTAGCTAGCACACTTAATCCTGAGGAGCTATCTGATCTCAAAGATCAATTTGATGCAATTGACGTGGATAAGAATGGTGCGATTAGTCTCGAAGAAATGAGACAGGTAAACCTTTATCACATTAAGTTTGAACTTCAGAATTTGATGCCCACTTCCTAATGAAATGTAGAATTTGGTACCTTTGTAACTTCTAAATTGATGTCTTTATTGCAGGCACTTGCTAAAGATGTCCCTTGGAAATTGAAGGATTCGCGTGTCCTTGAGATACTGGAAGCGGTATGCCAACCACACAACTTTTTCCTTTTTCATTTTTTTGCCTTCTCTCTACGAAGGGAAAACCCCACCTTTGTATTATGTTCTTGATGTCAGTCTCTTAGGGCCTTCTTCCCCTTATCGTTCTTACTCCAACCCAAGGCGATGTGAATCTCACATCGATCCTTATATCAGAGTTTGGATGTTGCTTCCTTTGTACGGTTTGGGATGTGGTTGTTTACTTGCTTGGTTCAGATTGACAGCAACACAGACGGGCTTGTGGACTTCACTGAGTTTGTCGCAGCTACTCTACATGTGCATCAGTTGGAGGAACATGACTCACAGAAATGGCAGCAGCGCTCACGGGCAGCTTTTGAGAAATTCGACATAGATAGAGATGGGTTTATAACTCCAGAGGAACTTAGAATGGTCAGTATTATCTGCCTTCTCCCTCTCAGACGACACAGATACATGGCACACTGAATTGGTTCGAGTGTTGTTCTTGTTAATTTTGCTAATGTACGACATTGCTTTCTTTTCTTTTGCAGCACACGGGTTTAAAAGGTTCTATTGATCCACTTCTTGACGAGGCGGACATTGACAAAGATGGGAGGATCAGCCTATCAGAATTCCGTAGACTTCTAAGAACTGCGAGCATTACCTCGAGAACTGTGACTAGCTCACCTGGTCACCGGAATGCTAGGAAGGTGTAGATTGGAAGTAAGAGAGTATGAAGGGTGTTCCGGTTTTCTAATTTATAACCATCTGAACCACTCTTGAACTCAAGTATTCAGCAATTTTATTCTTCATAGGATTGATATAAACGTTTCACTGAGACGTGTGATGTTAGAGTTGGTGTGGATCTGAAAAGAAGGTGGCTCCGGCTCCGGCTACGGTGGTTGTTCTAAGTGTACATCCTTTTGCAGATGTTGGAGATTTGTTGTTTGTGCCATACAATTTATGATGTGTGACAAAATAAATTATAAAGTATAGCAGATTACAACCGGAACGGGGTTCATACTTCATATGATATTAAGGTACCGTTTGGTACGTGGGACGGGACGGAACAGAGTGGGACAAGGCGTTCCGTCCCACGTTTGGTGCGCCTAAAACGGGTGGAACGAGCTGTTCCACAGGACGAGTTTTGAGTGAATTTTCGTTCCACCTCACCCCCCTGGAACGACTCGTTCCACATCTGTGGAACACAAAATTATAACCTCTCCGTCTCCTTCTTCTTCCTCCTTGTTTCCATCCTAGGGCATCTTTGCTTCCGCTCCGTTCCGTTCTGTTCTGTCCTGTCCTGTCCCGTCCCATTCCGTTCTGTCCCGTCCCGTCTGCATATCAAACGATACCTAAGAAACTACCAAGGGCTTGACAATTTGAACAAGTTACCTCGTGTGTGTGTGTGTGTGTGACCCAATAGATTTTTTTTGACAAAGTAATTAATTTGGCTCTTCAAACGATGACGATGAATTTCTTCTTAAAATACTTTCAAATTAATTTACGAAATTTTATATTTATGATTGTAACCGTTTATAATCATTATTTATGATTGAAACCATTACTATTACAATCATTATTTATGATCATTGGTATGTACAAAACAACGAATAAAATATCATGAATATACTGAATTTCTTGGGTTACTATGCTCGGGGAAAAAACTACAATAAGGCTTTAATGAATATTAAATGTGGGGAAAACTCGGTCAATAATGCTTGCTACTTTTTCATTTGAACTTCTTTATTTCTTCTTACAATCATGCATTGTTAATTGATGACTGAAAACTTTCTATTTTAATTTTGATTGTTTTAATGATCGGTCTATTTACCGATAACTAATAAATGAAGAAACGATTTTGGATATAATTAATTTTTTTTTATGGAATGTACTATTCAAATCAACAAGCAACTTGAGTAGAATGAGATCGCTAGCATTCGTCTTAATTAATAATAAACCGTCGACCAAAATTACTTGGATAACTGCACGTAGCAACATGACATTTATACTAAAAAAATTGGTTAGACAACCAAATAGTAAGAGCAGTATTGTAATTCTAATAGTACAATGTTCACTGTCCAAGTCGAAAATGCGCGATTTCTACTCTACAATCATTCATCTTCTTAATCAATAATTAAAAATCATTTCAACAAAAAATCAATTAAATCAGAAATTATTTAGTAATTATTGTAGACCTAATTCACTAAATCATATAAAGGACAGAGAGAGAGATGATGGGGCAATAGTAGAGAGAGATATATATATATATATATATATATTTAATTGTGAAGTGTGTGTTGTATCATCCTATTGTGCCTTTATTTATAGTAGTAAGGAATGTTAAATCCTTACCCTAATAGGATTACAACTCTAATAGGATAATATATAACCCTAGAGAATATTCCAAGATATCCCTAGATACACTAGGATTTACACAATCACATTCATAATCTAATAGGACTACAACACTCCCCCTTAAGTCTGTAAATATTCAAACAAATGGCGCATTAGGTTTTCAGCGATGAAGTAAGTATAGTTGATGAAGTCGTTGGCACAATGAGCCAATGCGAGTCTCAGATCAACAAAAGAATGCATAAAAGATAAAACTCACAAAACCTTGCTATGGTAAAACCCAAGGTGGGAGAAAAACCCATAGGCTAAGGAGAAAAGTGAGAAGTTGCATTAAGTCAAAACTATACATCTTATGGACATAAGTAGAAGAGCTCACAAGGGTATGATCAGCCCAGGATGGGTGCCTCGTCGAAACCTAGTTAGGTAGCAAAAACCCAATGGGAAAAATGCTCCTAATCGTTGGGAAAAAGAATACATTAAGATCAAGTGAGTATACTTCTAGATACTCCCCTAAGTTTGACAGAACTTCCAAATGATAACTACAAGCATTGCATATGAATAGTTAGGCATACCAATTCCTCGGACAACCTTCTAGAAGGTTGACTTTGTAGTGACGTCGTGTAGAGGTCGACAAGGTTGTTTGGGAATGGCTTGCATGACTTCAATCTCCTAATGCTTTGCTAATGTGAATGTAGATACAATATATCTTGGCGTTGACTTCGTTGATGTATCATAGTTTGGTCGGGTTAATACATGCGGCATAGTCTTCATGGATCATCGTTGGGACTCAATGATAAATGAAAATAGCAAATACTTCGAATATGCTCAACAAGAGCTCTTAACCATGTATCATGTGTGGCATAGTGAAGTAGGGTAAGTCTTGGAACAATTTGCAGATTTCGCAACTAAGGTCATATCATGGACCTTCAAGATATTGCGATATCCCTAATGGTAAAAACATAATCATTTGGGGATTTGCCTTGTGCGAGTTTGTTAAGTAACCAACGTCAGCATAACAACAAGGCAAGCATCATTCCGAGGATCAGGGGGTCGAATCCGCTCGCGATGTGTTGGGATTAGCCCAAATCTGTAGTACCTTTCAAGGTAGCGGAAAAATGTCTTTAATACCAATTTAATGGTTACGTGTAGGTGCAATGCTGCATCTTTACCAATAGATCACAGCGAAGTAGATGTCCTATCTAACGCAATGGTTAAGTACAACAAAGCGCAAAGTTGAACTTAGATATGGAATTTCGAATTCCATAACCTATTCAAGTGTTTCATTTGCAAATAGCGTATGGAAGATCATATGTATACTCAAAAGGTAACACCTTCGGGGTGTAATTTGATTGGTAGACCAAAGTATCGTCAAAACAATGCTTGAACTTCAAGTCAAGGCATAAAAGGGTTTTTCCAAGATCCTTCATCTCAAATTCCGTCTTCAGGTGTGAGACAGTTTTCTTAAGCTCTTCCAGAGTCTTAGTAAGATTCATGTCATGAACATAAACTGTAACTCTAGCAATTCGAAATATGACTTCATAGTTTAACACGCAAGGGCATATTTCATATCCCTAACTGATCAAATAATCACTTAGATGGGTATACCACATCCGCTAGATTGCTTTAATCCTTAAGTGAACGCCTGAAACAAGTTAAGATGATGTTTCGTGGTTTAGAACTATTTGAACCAGTCCATGTAATTCTTTGGAAACTTACATGTAAATCTCCGTATCTATATCCCCATGGAAAAATGCTAACCACATTTCATAATGCTGCTATCAATCACAAGGCGTTTGAGAGAAATCTTGCACCGTAAGACGTGTATCACATTGCACTATTTCATTCATCTCATTATGCTTCCTTTCCCACTTGTAACACAACAGGGTTACCTTGGGCAGTGTAGGAACGATATGTCCAAAACACATTTTGGTAAGGAATTTAACCTGGATTGTAATTTCGGTTGTCCAATCAGTTCTACGTTGTCATTAATCAACGAAACACAGTTTGATATCGTCAATTTTCATTTATGTTAGTAGCTACCATATAAGTGAAAACATCATGGATGATAATCTCATTTCAATTCCATTATCTCATACAAACTAGTATACTGGACCAAGAACTTCAAGTCTCGGGAGTAATCCAGATTAATCTTATGAGATGGAAAGGATTTGAGATAGCAATCGAGTATGGATTCATTGTTGTGACATGTCTTCCTCTTCTAAGGAAGTGAATCCTATGAACCGAGTGATATGTCGTGCTTTAGGGCGAGATAGATTGATTAGTTATCCGTTGGTGTACCAGACAGTCCAACATGGATGGCCAAACCATCCTTTAGGGGTGGCACATCCTTCTAGGATGTTGACTTGACGTCCGTTAAATACATTTATCCTTGCAAACATGTTTGCACCTGGTATATGATCTTGTCACTTTAGCTAGATCAGAGGAATGGGTCTGGAGCAACACTCTGAAAGCTAGAAATCATTGCACTTGCTTCTCACACTTGTGTGGTATAGGGATCGAGATGAGACATAGTGGGCAACGTCCAGGAAAATTCATGTCGTTCTACAGGAACGCTGACGTTTTTATCTCTCCTTAACGACGAGAAGACTGTCTTATTGAAGTGACAATCCGCAAATGAGCGGTAAAAAGATTGCTTGCAAGGGTTTTAAGAAAGCTAGTGTGAAGAAAAATCGTAATCGACAAAGATTCACATCCTTCTTTGAAAACCCATATTGGTACGTTGTAGCGACACAACTTGGCACATGGAATGCACACCCAAATGCGTAAGTAAGAAACATCGGGTTCATACCTAATAACCAACTGTAACATCGAATAGGTTGAGTGGCAATGGGCCTTAAGGTGGACCAACATAGATATGTACAAGATTGCATAGCCCTAGGCAAAAACCGAAAACTTGGTATGCTCACCAAGGTCCAAGCGATCATTTAAATTGTGCTTTATGATCACTTTGCAATGCTATTTTGGGGTAAACATGGGAATGCAATGTTCAATTATAAACCCAAAAGACATGAAATACTTATCGAAAACCGTCGATATAAACTCTGAGGCATTATCAAGTCTTCCAGACTTTATGGGATAAGTAGGATGGTGAACCCTTAAAATCGGCCAGGAGGTTTAACAACAATATGTGTAGACAAACATGTGACCAGTTCATCGATTCATCAACCAAAAGCATAAGTATTTATATGGTCCACATTTTGGGTAGATTAGTCCACATATATTCCCTTGAATCCACTGTGAAAAAAAAAAGGTGATTTCGTATCTTTGTGAGGGATGATATAAAAATCAAATTTCCCAAACGAGCGGGCTTTGGCAAAGTGTGCTTGTAGGCATAAGATCCTTACTTCGGGTAAGGAGATGCATCATAGCATCATTGTTCGACCTAAGTGTGCCAAAAGGTCGTGCCAAAGCAAGTAAACTACTCGAATCACCCGGCTCCAGGCCAGCCACTTGTTGTGTGTTCCCAGTTGGGAGGCAACCCATTGGCCCCAAAGCAAAGCTTCAAGCTCATTTTTGGAGGTGGTGCAAAGATATTCCACTTTATTTTCTTCAATGATTTCATTCATGATCATTGTTTTCTCGAATATCCTTAAAACTCAACGACGTTCTTCCGGAACGGGGAGAATATAAGGTTTC